TTTACGAGGATTTATAAAACACTAAGAGGAAAATCCCTAATCTCTTTAATAAACTCGTTATAATCTTTTTCCAAATTTTATTAGCAATAGGATATGGGTATACACGGTCCTCAACTCCTTGGCACTTCATGTAAAAATTACCATACGTTGTTCAATGGAAGAAGATTTTATAGTATAAATATGAGGGTAAATATGGATTTATAATCACAAGTGCCGGATCATTGTAATCAATGTGATATATGGTAGGGCAGATCACGATTCATTTATTTGTGAAAATTCTTCCGAAACCGAGTTATGAAAACTAGCTTAATAGCAAAATGCCGAATAAAAGGAATAAAAGTTTTTAAAAGGAGACAAAAAATTCGGTGTAATATAGAGGAGACGTTATTGCCGCAAAATAGACGAACAATTTGCAAACGTTGACCAAGTATGGCATAATATTTGTGCGCAGCTTAAACTTCTCGTTATAACATTGGCCAACACATCACAAAATAAACCAGGGTATGTTTGGATAGAAAAACTTGATGACAGTTAAAAAGAAAAAAAAAAAAAAACAAATTAAATTAAGTTTAATAACTTGAAATAAACATGTTATTGTTCACTTAAAGTTTTTAATTGTTTCTTTTTTTTATAGCTAACTGATTGTTTACACCATTGTGGTGTGTTTACACCATTTGTGGTAAGCAGTACAAGGATATGTAAAATTTGTGTGAATGTATGCAACAAGGAGAAGTAGTTGAGATAGACCCTCTTTTTAACATACCAAGCGATTGAGAATCGCTCTCTTAATCGTCCGTCCGTCCGTCTTGTTTTCTTTTGTTCAGGTCTTGGTTTTTAAAATATTTTGATTTAATTTTTTACACCTGAGACTGCCATTGAAAATGATTCGGATCGAACAACTGTTTCCATCGCTTCTCATATACCCTCTTATTTTGGAAGGTTGTTATATGAATAACAGTAGGGTGGTGTACAAAATATACAATGATGGGCTGTGATCCACTAAAGTGTAAAGTGTTTATTTGTTTACTTCCATATTACCTTTAAAGTTCAGCATCACGAGGTACGGACGCAAACATTGCTATTCAGCTTGGTAGATAACGGGAATCATAAACTGGCCGCTGATTTATTTCGTGGTCACTGTTGAATGGATATCATTCACATATCTTATAAGGTCATGAGGCATATATCCCCAGTTTTTTTTTCTTGGTTAAATTTATGGCCCTGCAATAGGAATAGAGATGGCCACCCTAAGCATTAATTATTATTAATAATTATTTTTTGCAGTGTCTGTGGAACTTACTGCATTTGATTATGTTCATGAATCTCATAGTTGCGCTTCTTATTTACTAAGGCAAACATTTTCACTTGCCTTTTGATCCTTTACAAACATTTAAAAAGAAAATCAAGTGCAAATAATGCATATTTTTAATTTGATTTTGTTTTTGTTGTTAGTCAGTTTAAAGCTTTAAAATTCTTTAATATATAATTGCAATGTGATAATTTAAGCCGTTAATCTTAAGTGCTTTTTAATTCACTTGAATATGTATTATATGTGCATGTGTATGTAAATAAATAATAAATAAACAAATAAATAATGAGAATGTATATAAATTAATTCATGGTTACCTTTAAACATTGAAATCGTCCGGGCTTATAAAAATCATTCAATTATCGTTTAAAGGACGTTTACAGAAAGTTTTATAACACACGCACGAAACTCAATGAATGCAAAAACATGTGTCTGGTTTTCATGGAAAGCAGAAGCATACACTTTTGTCGGCGCTCATGTGTTTTTTATTTTCAAACTTTTGTAATTTAATTTTTATCTGACAGCTACTTAAATGTATATTTAAATTAATTATTGCTTAATTAATATCTATATTAATTATTCTTGAATGATGAATAACAACCTTGATGTAATCATAATTCAAAGAAAGTGTTACTCGTTTAAGTAAGGAAAAGATGTATCGGACGCTTACGTTCCATGCTTGGGGGATGAAGTTCCTATTTGACTAAATAATTTTGTAAATAAGGAATTTTATCCCTTCGGTGAAAAGGAAAGACAACCGTAATGTTCTTCACGTGTACTCAAATAACATTTAGATATGATTTATGAGCTGAGTATATCATTTTTGCAGTAAAGAAAAAGGTTATAGAAGACTTGGATGATATGTAGCTTCGACAAAATTGTGCAACATGCCATCGATTGCATGAGAAAACCTATTTATTGGGAGAAAAGTTCAACGACCTTGTAACGCTAAGAATGATAAGCCTGAAGTCTCAAAATTTTCTTTTCCGTGTCCCAGGATGGAATTCTTACAGAAGTCCGAAGCCAGTCATTTACATCATAGCTTTTTTGAATAAAAACGGTGTAAACCAACATCTAAAATAAAAGAAACTTCATATTGATGTCTTTTACCGTTACAGCATATTTAAAAAAAAAAAAAAAAAAAAAAAAAAAAAAAAAAAAAAAAAAAAAAAACACTTATTGACGTTAAATAACGTAAATATAATTTCTTTCTTCGTTTAAAAGAATCATTCTTTCAAGGTGAGCATCAATTTGTTTTGCATTTTTAAGTCTGTAAAGAAAGATGTAAAGAACGATAACGGAAAAAATGTCTATCATATCAATATGTGTTAACTAAAAAGTAAACAATCTACGCAGTAAAAATCCAGTTGAAATGAATTATAAATCCAACTTAAACCTGAAACAAATACGGTAGCAGTGTTTCGTTCATGTTGGAAAGGCTGTACATCCTTATGGAAATATATGGCAAAAGCCATTTTTGCTAACCTATAGAACGCTTATTCATAGAGCAGATGGCCTCCTCAGAAATCTTGCAATCTTTTCCTTTTTAGGTAGGTATTTTTTTGGATATGGAACTACCAAGTTGCAATCTATTCATTTATTTCTTGCAAGAAAGGACATCGGACGGACAACCAGACATGGCTTATTTAACGCCATCTTCGGAGCAGAAATTAGGGATTCTTTTAATCAAATTGATTACAATAAGCCAACCACAAGACCACAAGACGAGCTGGCAAACTTAAATTGGTTTACTAAAAGGTGGTTCCATCTCAAATCCTTCTGGAAGTCGTATATATCCGCGCAAACTTAATACACGTTTGTAGTACAAGTGGTGTAGGGTGTAAAAATGTCGGTGCAGCAGTTCTTAAAGACGCTAGTGCTTTTTAAAAGTCCTTGGTCGTAACACCAATATAACTCAATGCTCAATTTATTTCAGGAAATTTAGGTTCATAACAATTTCCAGTGAAATACAGTTGATTTTTATACCGCCCACCGTCGCAAAGTAGGGGCACAGTCAGAAGACCGCTTCAGAGGCAATATAAGGTATATATATTTTTGATCAATATCAAATTTCGAATCTATTAAAGGATGTCCGTCCGTCAAACCGTCCGTTATCAACTTAATTATCAACGCAGATGGATATTCGAAATGAGCCAAATCGGTCGAAGGACACGCCCATAGTACAGCTAAAACTAAGAACATCTGTGAACTAAAATTGAAAAATATTTTTTTCCAAGGAAATGCTAGATTTACGCGTAAACGTTGTGGCAGCCGCATTCCCTTTTATTTAATATCCATAACTCGAGATTTTATGGCTGCCGCTATTTTGAGTACATACAGAAAATGACTGTACTTCGGCAACTGTGTAGAACATGATTGACATCAATGCATTTTTGCAAAAGTCAAAGGAGTATGCCAACAAGCCCACAACCGCCCGTGCAATAAAGGAACACGATTCAACGTTGCATCAATGAGTTTCAGCCACAGTTATGCAAAAGGGCCTTGGAAAATTTCGATGAAAGACGGCGTACTTCTCAGCACAGCTGTGTGGGCCATTTGCCCGATGTGATATTCCACACACAACCCTATTCTACGTACATTATGATTCAATGACAAAATCACAAGTAAAAGGAAATAAAAATCCGCTTTCTTTTTAAATCAAATTTTCTGTAATTCTCTTTTTATGCGAACTTTATTTACTCGAAATTTGATTTAACACAAGTTAAAAAGAAAAAAATCTCTTTTTACACGAATTGTCTTGTTTTAACACGATTTTCAATATTATATAAATTTTTGTATGGATTATTTTACTAAATTTTTCCCATGATTCTTTTGTTTTTTTGAGTTTTTTATTAATTTTTTCATTCTCACTCCTCACAAGCATGCATTGTAAGTTCGCGTTACATTTATCACCATTTAATTAGATTATATCGCTTATATGCGCTATATGAGAGAGGTTTTCCGAGTTATGCATAGAGTAACGACGGAATGTATTTTTTATGCAATGTGGTTTGGTTTTTGAGAAAATAATTAATTTTAATTAATTAACAATTTTTTTTATTTAGAATTTGTAAACACGAAATAATTTCTTAAGTGAACTCTAATAAAAAATTTTAATATTTGTTTTCGATTGCTTCTTCTATGTCTGAACCTAATCCCTTTTTTTAATATCTTTTTTACACGAATTTTTTTACATGAGTTTTTTTAGGAAAGTATCTATCGTCTGAAAAGAGAATTAGCTGGACTACGTTTCGAAGTCGCCGTGCAAACACCACAGCAAGGTAAATGGAAATGGAAAAGTGGATAATTATTAATTTTTCGAAAAATATGGTCTACAAAAGCCGACCAAAAGAAAGCTGTATTCCATTTCACTAGAAAACATATCTATGAAGCTACACTTGCAACTTGAAAGCAACCAATTGAGAACTAAGTTACCTTAATGCCTGAAAAACATAGCTTCACAACTAAAATTTTAAGCAATGGTAATTTTGACTTGTGCCTTTAATGGAAAAATTAAGTTTTTAAACTTTATTCATCCTTCTTAAATATTTAAAATGATAAAAATTAAAACCTAAGAAAAAAAATTAAATAAAAATTTTCTAATTAAAAAATTATTAATAAACGATGACTACCGATCAAAATCGCTTGTAAGAAAAATAATTGATTGAAATATTTTCCAAGTTGAACTTACACGCATTTGTGAATATTCTGCTAAGAATCCAATGACAATTGTATCTTTATCCACATTATTGCCACAAAGTATATGATCGTTAATTAATTGTGAATTTGAAGAAATATTTATGAATAAAGAATGATTTTTATAATGTTGTCGGGCATTTAATTGACATATTTTACACAATATTGCGTAAACAACCATCAACAGGTAACACTTTAACATATTTGATGAAAACATAGTAAATTTAAAATATTTTTATTTCTATGATTATTTTTTTGATTTCTTTTTTAATTATCTCTTTAATAATTATGTTGTCAAAGAGCCGATAGCCTGTGTTGCTAGTGCTCAATGTCTTTTTTTAGTCTAAGAATTCTTTTCATTAGTCTAAAATTAAAATAATAATAATAATAATAATATGTTGTTATAAAATTTTCCAAAAATTTTTTATAATTGACTCGATCATTTAATTGAAAACATTTTTTTTTTTTTTTTTGATTATTCATTGATTCCGTTTCCTCCTTTTTTTTTTCTTGCAATTTATATTCCTGCCTTAATTCTCTTTAACAAGACTTGTTGAGCTTTAATAGGAAGCAAAAAAAAAAGAAAAACTATTTTCTGGTTTTCCGGCAAGTAATGCTCGAAACGGTAAAATGTAGTAAACTGAAAAAATTTCTATTCTGTTCAGAGTTTTTATTGACATGCACTTGCTCCTGCACCGAATAGTTTTCGTTTTATCCTTTCGTTTTATTTAGTAAAGCATTCGGTTTGTTTTTAATATTTAATGGCATTATATATAGTGAGTGAATGAAAATGAGTAAAATTTGCGTAGAGCAACGCGCGCGTAAAATGATCCTAAAGTATTTATGAATGAATTTTAGTCTTGTTTGCTTTGCTTTCCATTTTACTCTGTATTCTATTGTGTACTACCGGATTGGTCTATATTAAGTGAGTGCGTAACACTTGACATTCAAAAAGGATATGCTTTGGATTAACGAGTGGAGGTATGCCGGCTTTGTAATTCTGTTTACAACGACCGCAAAACACTCCTAAAATTATTCGTAAATTTTCCATATAAGATACACTTAATATAATCTTTCGAATTAATTCGTGTTAATTACTAAACTGATTACAAAAACTGAAATCGAACTTTAACTTTTCAAACGTATACGTTGCTTAGATTGACGCCAGTAATTGCTAAAAGCTAAGCAATGCTTCAGAAGCAGAATGATAGAAATTTACAGTGTCGTGTTCATACCAGGTAATCCATGGCATAAATTGTTTTATACAACGCTCTCTTGAAAGGTTAACTGGTCTGCTAAAAGCTAATGAAAATCCATTACATCCATTTGTACGATTTTTTCTTGACGCTTCACTGTCTGATGAGACTTTCTCATCTCTTCATATACTTCATTGTAGCCTTACCACAATGTACGTCGTAGTCGTAGACAAAGTTATGCAAATAAAAATTCAATTTGCCTGAAATGTAAACTTTACTACTTAGTGTCGCACTCTAAAGCTATAGTATTGCCTTTGCCTGTTTGGCTCGCGAAATCATGGCGAAACTAAAACAAGAGTTAAAAGAATTATTTGCTTACTTAGGCATTAGTGTTAAAAGATAAGTTAGTAAGGAAACGTTCTCCTGCATCATTTGCGTTAAATAAGGCCATAAAACTTAAAAAAAATTTAAAAAAATGTAAGCAAATTTTTCAGTTTTCGAGGTTACATAAATTAATTGTTAGCAATTATTGTTATGTTGATATCCTTGCTCCTACCATCTGTTTACTGTTACCACTTTGCATTCATTAATTGTTATTTTCAAGAAATTAATTTTATTTGTTGCTTTCAAAAGGTTGACCTTTTCATAGTTTTAATGCATTCAAATATTAATATATTTACAAATTTCTTTGGAATAAGGACATGATAAAGTTATAGGGAAGAAACCGGGATCCTCAAGTTATATGGCATATGACATATAGCATTTTGAAGTCCCCTTAGTAATAATGTCATGACTTCTTCATTGCAAGTTATTATGCTTAGAGTTAACGCAACATTATAAAAGTTTTCGTTGAGTATAAGCAATGTAGCCTTTTTTAATTTTAAGGTATCCGTTGAGAATTGTTTAGATAGGATGTTCCAAAATTGACGTAGGATTTCAATTAAATAGAAAACAGATTTTTTTTAAAATTGTAATTTGTTTATAGGATAAGGTTATGTGCGGAATACCACATCGGGCAAAGAGCACCAAAGGCTTTGCATAAATGTGGCATTGAATCTGCTCCTTCAAGGTGCAGGCCGTTTTGGCAAAGACTTCAAATAACGCCACAAAGATAAATCCAATGATAATAAATCACATGATTTAGAGACTCAATTCTGATCAAGGACCAAGGAATGTCTCATGCAGTAACTAAATTGTTTCACGGGGTGTATAGCATGTGACATCGTCTGACGTCGTTCACATTAGCAACAGCGTTTGCTTCAGCATTCTCATTTTCGAAGAAGTATGGTCTAATGATGGCTGAAGCCAGGAATCCATACCAAACAGTGACACCTTGTGGATGGACGATTACCGGAAACATAACGTAAATTTCAGCGTAATTAAAGCATTGTAAGCGGACATCCTAATGTCCCCTCCTCCCTCTTAATATCTTCATCAAACATTACCGTTTCTCAGCAATACTTATTTCAATTTATAATTTACGTTTTCTTTGAGTTTACCATCTTATATCGATATCCAAACTTTGGATCTTTTGGTGAATAGCCATAAAAAACGGGGTCACGTGAAGTCCGTATGAATATTTCATAGTTTTTTATACTCTAGCACTACTTCTTGTGCAAGCATATGTACAGCTTGTCCGGATGTATGCAACGTCCAGAAGGTCCATAATAGACCCATCTCTTGGGTTCATCGACATATTTGGACTCAAAGACAAACGTTGTTAAAAATAGTTCGGTTCGAAAAACTGCTTCCAACGCTCTCCATATAACGCCTTATTTTCAATAGTCCTTATATGAACAATTGTATTAAACGAATTGGCGTACGGTATTTGATGATAGGCCATGTGTCACTATAATGTTTTTACTTGTTTTGTTTATAGAGTGTTGCAGCAGCCGGGGAGGTGTCTGCCCAATGAATAACTGCGATCGGGCATACTACATATTGTAGTTCCGTTTTACTTAGAGTGTTTGTAATGAAAGTGTGATCTAACGCACTGGGAATTGAACCCGAGCATGCCGACGTTATCATCTTTTCCTTCCTTCCATTTTGCTTATATTCGATGGGCTTAGCACTCTTTTGAGAGCATCATTTGCAACATTTTGCTTATTCACAGACGATACGCTAAAAATGATAAGCAACATTTCCCAGAAAATGCTCTTCTTTATGGTTTAAGTCTTTGCAATAATTAGCAATAAATTCATTAAATTAAGGCAATATTTACAATAGAGAGAGAAAAGAGAAAATGAAAAATTTACCCCAATAATTAGATTAGCCGAAGAACCAAGAGGCCTAGAAAATTATCCTGAAATAATATAATAATGGTTTCGTGAGAAATTTATTAAAAATTTACAAAGTAGTTTGTTATTAAGACGATACAATGCCGTTAGAAGAGAAAGCACCGCAACAAACTAAGCAACTACTATAACCGCAAATGCAACTATGGTTAAAGAGTAAGTTTAACAATTTAGCAAAGGGAACATTAGTTAGTTGAATTATAATGTAGGCTCAGGGCTACTGAAATATTTTTCAAATTTTCTTCTTCTGTTTTGTTTTCGTGTAGTGCATGCTTCGCATAACAATAGTTGACTTGAATATTGATCTATAATAGCTTACTCTATTAGGTTCGGGAGAGAAGGGATTATTTAACAAATCTTAATGCACGAATCTGTTTATGAAATTTATGTTCTTATATATGGTATTACAGCAGCTTCAAATTCCACGAAAATGCATAATATTTTCTAGGAAATTCTTCTTCTTCTTTGGAAATGATGACTTTGCGATATTACATGCACATTAATGTAAAGGTCTTTGGGTAACAAACCCAACGCAATTAACGCAAAAGCAAATCTTTACGTAATATTGTGTTCAAAATATTAGGGGAATTTTTATTTTAAAAATACACAAGCGCCGAATATGAATATAATATGTTCTTTTGCTAACAATCATTAACATCTTGCAGAAGTTCAATTCGCTAGTTTAGCGAATTTTTGAAATGAACAAACGATTATTTGCGCGTCTGCACTGAAAATATTCAGAAAGTGCAATAATGGCATAAGCAAGGATTTACAAATGGCAGAAAGATTTTAAAAAAGAGTAGAAAAACAGTTTCAAGTAAACCGCGTGCAAGAAGGTCGTCTTAAACGTAAATATCTGATACTGAGCGATCGTCCATTAAATGTCATATATGTTAAATAAATGTGGCTGGAATAGCAATTTTAAATAACGACTTGCAGTTGTACAGTTGGTTGAGATACTCTAACTAAAGCAACTAACTTTACGTGTTTAAAAAGCTGAAGAGATACTTTGATGATGACTTTGATCCATAAAATAATCTTTTGATTCAAATTTTCGAGGAGCAGTTAAAGGATTTTCGGAAAGAAAATTAAAAGATTTCTTTTTGAACAAATGAGCACCAATCGCTAAATATCTCTTCGCTTAATACAGTTGTTCATATAACGACTTTTTAAACTAAGGCGTTCTGTTGGGAATGGTCGAAAAAGTGGATCGAGCCGAATCATTTTCAACAGCGTTCGTCCTTGCGTCATAGAATATCAATGAACAAAATTCCATCGAAATATCTCAAAAATTGTGCATTGAACACAAAGCACATTGACAAATATCAAACGGACATATGAACAGACAAGCTTAAAAACTAATTCTGAATCGACCAATATAATAAAAGCTGGGGCTGTGGTAAGCTCTTCTGGATGCTACGTGGATCCGCACAAATTTATATGACGAGAGAGTAGAGTATTATTACGTTAGTACATTTCTCCATAAAATTTTAAGTCAAAATTCTGGTTCATTGTGACGAATTTTGTTTAAAATAGGCTGCTTTTAATACTGTGTAGGTTAGTAATAATCTCGAACTTCAGAATGTCTGCCTACATTTTAAAGGATGGGTTAAACTCTATGTACTAAAAAGATTTTCCCTTCGAATCTCTTTACTAAATAGCACTAAAATGGCAGTAAAAAAATTTTTCATAAAAAAATCCAGATACTTCCACTTTCACGTTGAACGTCTCTCAAATCTTAGACTAGACTAGATTTCATAAAAGCCAAATGTCAACATTCAAAATTCATGTTTACAGAAAATGGTGATAAACAAACTATAGCGCCGAGCATTCTATACAATATAGTACGAGATTCAACGAGTATTAATTTAAAT